CACACCAAAAATAGTGCCGACAATAATTTATAATAAAATTTCATGTATAGGTTCAAATTCCTTTTTTATTATTTTCCGATCATGTTATTCTTTCATTCTTTTCTTATAAATCCTATCATTATCAAAACATTCATTTATAATTTCTTCAAGCTCAATCAATTACAATAATCTTTTTTCACCAGCATCTTTCAAATTGAAATTGAACTCCTTAATACCCCAATAAACTTTATGTTCCAATTCTACCGATAGGTGACAAGTCTTCCCAAAAATTAATCTATACGGGGACATTCTTATAGGTGTCTTATAAGTTGTCTTGTATGCTCATAATGTAGTATCTAATCTAGCAGAACAATCCATTTTATTAGGATTCACACTTTTTCCCAAAATTCTTTTAATTTCACGATTAGATACTTTTGTTAAACCACTATTCTGGGAATGATAAGCAGTTGCAATTTTATGCATTATATTATATTTTTAATGAGATCCTCTATCGGTAATGATTACACTTGGCATTCCATATCTTGTAAATATATTTTTGAATAAAAATTTTGAAACACTCCGAGCATCACATCGATGTAAAGCAATTGCTTCAATCCATTTTGAAACATAATCCACTGCAATCAATATATACACACTTCCAAATGAAGATATAAATGGTCTCATAAAATCCAAACCCCATGCATAAAAAATTTCAATTCCTAAATTAAAATTTAGAGGCATTTCATTTCTTTATGAAATATTACCTACTCTCTGACAACTATCACATGTTTTTATATATATATATTAACATCTCTAAATAGAGTAGGCCAATAAAATCTAGATTGCAGAATTTTATGAACAGTTCTATCATTACCAAAATGACCTCCAAATTTAGAATCATGACAATTTTTTGATAATTTCTTGAATTTCTTTATAAGGCACACATCGTCTCATTATTAAATCTTTCTATTATTTATACAAATATGGGTCATCCCAAATATAATATTTTGCATCGTTAATGAATTTCTTTTCTTGTTTTTTTATCAGTCCATATGGTAAAATAACACTAACAATATAATTCACAATATTAGCCCAAGGTATTTCCCATTCTTTTACAGCATAAAGTTGTTCATCAAGAAAAGTTTCATTAATTTCTTTTCTAAATCAAGTGTTTCTTCCTATTCTAGCCTAGAAAGATGATCAACAATTTGATTATCGGTCCCTTTTCCTATTGACTACTACAAAATCAAACTCTTGCATCAGAAGTACCCATCTAATTAATCTTGGTTTTGCATCCTTCTCTAACATTAAATATTTAATTCCCGAGTGGTCAGTATGCACAACACATTTAACTCCAATTAGACATGACCTAGACTTATCAAAAGCATAAACAATAGCCAATAACTCTCTTTCAATAGTGGTGTAGTTAATTTAAGCATCATTAAGAGAATTACTAGCAAAGTATATGACTTTAAAAATTTTTTCATATTTTTTCCCTAAAACGGCTCCAATTGCATAATCACTTGCGTCACACAATAATTCAAAAAGTTTCTCCCAATCAGGTGAAACAATTATTGGAGCAATGATCAACTTTTTCTTTAAAGTTGTAAAGGCTTTAAGGCAAACTTGGTTAAAGTCAAATTTTGCATCTTTTTTTCCAGAAGTTGGCATAAAGGCTTTGTATTTTTTGAAAAATCTTTAATATATTGCCTGTAAAATCCAACATGTCCTAAAAAGCTCCTAACTCCTCCTATAGTAGTAGGTGGAGGTAAGTTTGATATAACCTATATTTTTGCATGATCTACTTCCATGTCATTTCCTGAAATTTTATGCTCAAGCACAATTCCTCCTATAACAATAAATTGATATTTTTCCCAGTTTAAAATGAGATTAGTCTTTTCACATATTTCTAGAACTTTCTCTAAATAATTTAGACATATTTCAAATGAAGTTCCAAATATAAAAAAAATCATCCATAATGACTTCAATCCCTTTTTCATATAAATCACTGAAAACTGACATCATACATTGTTGAAATGTTGCAGGTGCATTACATAATCCAAATGGCATTTGGCGAAAAGCAAAAGTTTCATAAGGACTTGTAAATGTTGTTTTCTCTTGATCCTCTGAAGTATAGGTATTTGATGATAATTGATATATCAATCTAGAAAACAAAAATATATATACCTACCCAGTATACCCAACATCTGGTCCAAAAGGTAAAGGAAAATGATCATTCCTGGTGACAGAATTTAATTTTCTATAATCTATGCAGATTCACCATCCAGTGACTTATCTTTTTGGTATTAATTCATTATTCTCATTTGACACTACAGTCACACCTCCTTTTTTTGAAACACAGTGAATTAGACTCACCCAAGAACTATATGAAATAGGATATATTATTCTAGCATCTAACCGAATCTCTTTCTCGACTTCATTCATCATAAGATTCAATCTCCTTTGAGGATCAACTTTTGGTTCATGTTGATCTTCCAATAAAACTCTATGGATACAAATTGAAGGGCTGATTCCTTCAATATCAGCTAATGTCCATCCAAATACTTTCTTTTATCTTCTTAAATTTTCCAACAACTGTTTTTCTCGCATAACAGTTAATTCTGAGGATACTATAACAGGTAATGTGGATAAATCTTCTAAGAATGCACAATTTAAATGTGTAGGAATGTTTTTATTTCTAGTTCAGGAGGTTTCTCAATAAATGAAATCAAATTCTTGTTACATTCTGTAGGATCTAACATTTCAAATTTTTCCTGAACATAATCCACATCTTCATTGCTCACTTCTGTAGATTCATCTTGAATTTTATCCTCATCTTCATATTTCAGATATTCTTTTTTAAATTTCTTTTTAAAAGTCTTCTTGAAATATTTAAGGCTTAAATATTTATTGATAGCCAATCTAAAGCATTCAATCTCTTGCTCTTTTGCATGGTATCTCATTGATTTTTTAATATTAAATGTAAAATATTGGTCACTAACTCTTATAGTTGGTTCTCCTTTCTGCACATCTATCAAAACACTTCTAGTGGCAAGGAA